AGCCCTGAAGGTGGTGCCTTCTTTGGCTCATACTGTATGTGCTCTTTTTCCCCACATTTGGAATTGAAACCTGGATGCAAAAAATCAGGAATGGTTAAGAAAGCACAACATAAACGTACTGTATAAGCACAGAAAGAGGCATGCTGAGTAGTGCAAGAAGAGACAGGAAAAGACCTCTTTTTAGCATTATTGCTGGAGTTGAAAACAGCGAAAACAACCATACGCTGGACACAGCGAGAGGAATGTGTCAATGTTAGAGCAAGGAAATTCAGAGCTGGATCCCAAGATACTGGATACAAGAGAAGACAAACAGGGAGGCATCGTGGAAAATGGGAAAATGTACAGTCATTAAGATGCTTGTAGGAGCAACAGGGATGAAGGGCTGAAAATGTGGAAGGTCTCCAGAGAGGGCAGAAGATTCGGAGGGGCTGAGGATACCCAGAAAGTAAAGCTTACCTCACTTTACCTCAATCAAAATGTACCAAATAAAAATGAATCTTACACTATTATCAGATTCATTGGTTACATAAACACTGTCCCCAAGTCTTACAGCACCCTTTTCTAGAGGAAAGGTGTATTGTTTTGAATGCGTGGAACCGACTTTAAGGGTGATGCAGTATCTGTGAAAACACCGAAGTAAGTGAATTCCTGTTGTGCTGAAGGGAGTGGTTAAAGCAGACAGTCAGCTTTATAATAAAAGCAACAAAATACACGTGAAATGCAAAATATCATAAATGACTCATCTTTGACTAAAGTCTTTGTTGCACCCTTACTTTAGAATTTTGCTTTCTGTGGTTTTTACAGCCTGTAGTTTACATTTGAGCACAGTTCTTGGCATCTTTCCAGAAATGTTTTTGGCTGTTGTCATGATGTGCGAAATCAGCATAAGAGAACACATTACATTGAATATCTTAAGTGTATCTTCAGCACAGAGCTAAGATTATATTAAAAATTAAATTATAGGTAAACTATGACATAAATATTGCATTTCCCCCAAAATTGTGCTTCTACACAACTAGTTTATAAATGTACCATTTAATTTTCGTTTACAGGAACATTTGGTGTCCTTTTAAGGCTAGGTCTTGCCTCACAGGAGGCTGCATATGTTTGAAATGTATTTTGGAACCATGTGTTACTCACATCATGTAATGTGAAGAATATGTGAAAATTACATTTAAGGTTTCTTCTAAGAGTGGTTTTATATGTGTATATGACATATACTGTATAAATATCGTACTTCAATTTTTGAAATATTGGATACTCACGTGAAAATGCTAAGGCTAGGATGAAGATGATAAGTCCAGCAATGACGACTATCAGAACAATCATGCTGTGAAAAAAGGAGAATCGTTACTGTAGATGAAACACTGCATGTGTACTGCATGTCCTTCGTAGTTTTGCTCAGCCTTGATGAATCAGATCTAAAAGGTGATTCAGCAGAACAGTCCAAGTGCAAAACAAGAGCTTGTGATAGAAATAAAAAGAGACTTCCCGTATAGTGCAGTATACTTACATAGAACACCTTGGTCCTGTATATTTTTAAAGGTCTGATTTTCAGATTTAATCAATAGTTTTGACTCCTCCAGGAGCCACTTCCCGCAGGAGTGTTGAGCAGGAGTGTTGAGCAAGTGTTGAGCTCCCCCGGGCTCTGTCTGCAGCTCCTGCCACACATGTCCCAGCAGAGTTGGGACGACCAGCTCTCTGACGCTGTCTTGAGCAGTCGCCCGTTTAGCGGACGGTTCGTTCTTGCGTTTGCCCAAGTTTAATACCCAGTGGCCATGAAGTCAGCTCCGAAAGCCAGGTTGAGCTTTGGATCCAGGAACTACCAGACGTGAACTTTGGATATTACGCAGCATTAACTTTCAACACATTTACCTAGTGGCACTACATTTAAGTCATTTGTATATAAATCTATTTATACTGTATATAACTGATGTGTGGCCGTCTCACAGCCCCGGATTCTGGGTTCGATTCTAGACTGGGGTGCCTTCTGTGTGGAGTTTGTTCGTCTCACAGTTTTCAAACGTATTTTCTCCAGGTACTCCCGTTCCCACCTGTCTCCTGAAGATAAGTGCTCTAACATGGCAGATTTACCACTGTCTCTAAATTGTGCATAGTCCTGCCTTGCGCCCTGTGCCTGCAGGATAGGTCTGGTTTGCTCCGACCCTTATGAGCATTAAATAGTTCAGGTAATGGATGGATGTTATTTTTTAGCTAGGCTGTAGATATATCTACAGTAGTACTTGTTTTCTGTCACCTTTCACTATATTATTTTTTAATTAATTCATGTGGAATAAATAAGATGCACACCTGTGTTTTCCTTTCTCAATCAAATTTTTGTTACTTTGCATTAAGAACTCAAATACACTTGGAGGCTACTGTACAATAAAAAAAATAACTGTAACGTTTTTGAGTTTATGCATTTAAGGACCTGAAAAGTATGCATTGAAACGGTATGAAGTTAAACAGCAGACTAATACTCTACTTGTAAATACATTTTGTAAAGTTTCTACATCATTCTGTGATCTTAGATCTTGTGTAATACCTGTTGAAAAGTGTTCTCCATGTCATCTCATGATCCAACATACAAAACATTCAGATGTGATGCAAAATTATTCAAAAATTAGACAAAAATGTTGAACATCAGCTTGAGTGTTCATGCTAATGCTTCGTCACTTGCAGGACCAGTTACTAAGAGCCATTGGCTTGTCTTGAATTTTATCATTTGTCCCAGAGAGCTTGTGACAGTTTCTTTAAATGCAATAATACATATCATTTAGACGCAATCATTTTGGGGTTGTAAAGTAGATGACAGATAATAGCAGCAAGGCAGAGAACACAGGGAATTGTGATAACTTTGTACAACTTTCTAATTTGAATCTGCTTTAAACCCATCCTTTAGTGTACCACATGTGCATCATAATACTTTAAGAACCAAATATGTCAGAAAACCTGTGTGTGAACAAACACTTCCCTGCACTCGAATGCATTGCTCTTGTGTTTCATTTAATGGCACCCTGCCTTGTGTTTGATTTTTGCTGAAGCACATGTGCCTGACAGACTAGCATTTTCGGTTGCTATAGAGCATTTTGTACAGTGTGGGTTTCACAAGAGGCTTAACAAGATAGGGGTGTGGATGAGAGAAAAGTGTGGTCAGTCTAGTTAGACAAGCTTCAGAATCAACACAATTGTTAATTATATAAACTGTATCTCTTTCTGTGAGTGAACCTGTCCGCTGAAATGGGTTAATTCCAAAGGAGAGAAAGTTTTGTCACTTTTTTTATTTACATGCTGGTGACATGATTATGCATAGCAGTTGTTTTCCAAAATATGGATGGTGTTTGCACTCTGAATACAGCACTCTTCCATGAAGACCTTACAGAACAGGGCTGTCTATCCTGGACCTGGAGGGTCAGTGTGTTTCTCGGTTTCACTCCAACTCAGCTCTTAACCAAGCACAGCTGGAGCTCAACCAGATGGTTACAGGCTTACTTGTAGCACCTGAACAGCACTGGGTTATTTCCTAAATTTCCTAAAAAATTGTTTTTGAGTATGTATAGATTTATTTTTAATTCTTATGTAATAAAACTCACTAAGTACTATTTAATATACATTTTACACTTGATGCCTGTGTGACTATACAGTATGACTTCATGTCTCACCCATGTTCTCATTGTAAATTAAATGTGCTCTTAACTGACGTGGGTATTTTTAAAAAAAGAAATGAAACATGTATAGTCCAGTCCCAGAGATAACTTGCTCATTTCAAGTTTGTTTGGAAGAAAAACAGCAGGCAGATATTGAGTGAAAAAGGTGACTTGTGATAATCGTCTGATAAACATCTAAACTTAAGTTTGAAAGCTTAACAGTGCATTCTAAAACAATTACAATATACAGTAAATTTGATACTTAAAGCAATTCAGTTTAACAAACTCCACCAAGGGCCAGTTTTGTTTCTCCTTTTGAACACATGCAATAGTATGGTTAATTAAATATTGTTTTATGAGATTTTGAAATGGCAAAGATGTGTTTCAAACTCCACGTAGTCTATTAGCTTTCAACGGAATTCAAGATCACAATGTCATATTTTTAGTGTTTATTAATATATGCTAATGTATCAGAAATTGTGTTTACTTTCAATCAGGTTTTGTTTGTTTTTAATGATTGTTGCTTGCCCTTATTTAACAAAACGACTGCCGTTTCGACAATAGAAATGTCAGTTTGACCTCAGGGAAAACATGAAGACTACAGTTCAGCCTGTATTACATAACAAAATAAAGAACTTTCCTATTTACAAGAATGATGTTTCGAAAAAAATTAAATCTATACATCACACCAACTTCAATTAGAATTAGTCTAGAAACAAAAGAGAACCTGAAAAGCAAATCCTTGTATGTGCACAATGTAACTTTCTGTGTTTTATTGTATTTTATTGTAGGCGATGAATCAGGTGTTATTTTCATACAGTCGAAGTAGGGCTAGTTTGTAAAAGCCAAGTAAAGGACACAGTACCTCCAGAAGATGATCTGTCCAATCGAAGCCATGTCATTGCCACCCAAGCAGCAGTTGTGACTCTCACACAAAGCGCAGGTCTTTCTAGGGAAACTGTTCTTTTGCACTCTGGTATGCTGCCTGGAGCAAGGAGTGGCCAGACGCTCAGTGTTACTTGGCACAGTGAGCCAAGTTCCACCTGTCCAACATGCAAACCCAGGAGGGCGAGACAGCCTGTGGTTTCGCTCCTGCTGTCCCGCTGCTGCTATACAAGGGCGCAGGAAGTCGTCTTTGAATGTAAATATTGTGCTTGGAAGGCGTGTGCTGACTGCACCCTGCAGAACTCCAGTGGCCCATCCAGGGTGTAACCTGCCTGGCGTCCATTGTCTGCCGGATTAGGGCCCGGCTCCCTGCAGCCCCGTACTGGGCTAAGTGCTTCATGGAAACGCTATTAGTATTAGGAAGCGTTCTAGGAGCATAAAGGCACAAGCCTCTCGATTCAGAGACAGCCTCTTCCTGCAGGCTGTCAGATTGTTGAATCCTACTTCTACCACAGACTCATACTGCTGCTTTTTTACTGCATACTGCTTGTGCTGCCTTTTTAACTTTGATATTTAACTTTGTTTCTGCTGCTGTTTTGTGTTGGTTTTTGGTATTTCCTTAGCGTCTAAGCAGCATACATGCCAATACACATTTTAATTGCACAGGTGCATATGACAACTAACCTGTAGTGAACTGGACAAAACATCAAGGGACTTATATAGACACACTATGACAAAAAATAACGAGAAGGATTTTGAGTGGTATAACTGTGTATCCGTTACAACAGAATTGTTTCCCCTCATTTTTAGATTTTACTTTTCATGTTTTCCAGTCAGTATTCATGAGTGAATTCATGGATGTCCCTGACACTCTCCTTAGGAAGCTGCAATATGTCCGAATCTCTGAAGCTAGACGTCTAACTCAGACTAGACACTGGCAGCATGTCACACATGATGTACAGTACAGCCTCCTTGGGTTTGGAAAGGCACTCTATAAATAAAAGTTATTATCATGTACATGAAAGAAGTTACAAAAATATTCTCCTGGTGCTCTTAATACAATGAGCCTACCACCTGGGGAAAACATTATAATAAGCAATGACATTTTATAACCGAAGTATAATTCTGCTATGAACATTGTGTGGATTGTAGATTACCATAGTCCTAAATAAAAAGAAAACATATTTAAGAGATACCAAATTAAAGTAACTAGTACTACAAGCGTTTTTAAAGCCAGTGTAATATTCACCTCTATAAAACGAGGGAGGTCAGTATTGAATGGAGATGAGTTGATAAGGAAATAGACAGACACACAGATGACACCCTGGGATGACAACCCTTTTTCTACACACTAATAAAGTTGTTGAAATTTGCATTGGAAAACGCAGGTTTAGGTGATTTCAGCAGGTAGAACAGTTTCCAGTCTGAATTCCATAGTCCTGGACATGATACGTGCACAAAATAGATTTGGGAGTTATTTGCCAAACCACTTCTCAATATTAGCAGTTAGAAATATAAAAATAGCCGTTGTGGAGCTCGGCTCTTTAAAGCCGCATCAGCTGAACGAATTAGAACTGTTCAGTTGTTCCTGTTAAATCAGCAACCAGCTGGTTAAGCTACACAGTCAGAATAAGAAGCAATGATAAGCCGAAGTGGGGTTAGGGCTTAGGGTGCAGTCCAGCATCTCATCCAGTGTCCCAGAGTTAGAACGAAAACCCACATATCCACCAGCCCTCAATCACGGAACAACACTTCTCAAAATTCCAATCGCTTTAGTTCAGATTCAACACCTAAGACGTTTTTAAATCGAGAAGGAAAAGTGGGTCATGCAGTCCTTTAGATTTGTGTAGGTACAGCTCTTAAAAATGCAAATTGTATTGACACCAGGACGCTGCCTAGCAGGTTTAGAATGAAAAGCATACAATTTCTTCCATCAAAACGGGTCTGGCACACGTGGTAATGCTGTTTTCAATCACATTGTTCCAGGGGTTGATGTCTGTATTGAATCACTTTAGCTCTTTTCAAGCAACTCAGTCTCAGATCAGAAGAAAATTAAGGCTATTTCTTTTTTGCATGTAGGACAATTTTTTTATTTTAGATTTATGAGAACGGTTTAACAAGATGGTGAAGTTGTTCATCAGCATTTGGAGTCATGCTGTTTATCAATATGATCTGATACACTATTTATAACTTGAATTTGATGTCACATCACTCATTCACAGTTGTTTTTAACTCCATGAATACACTTGGATTTCCAATGCGATTTCTGTAGCTGAGCTACTGCTGGTTACGAGGCACAGAATGTTAAATAAGTTATTCTGAGCCTGTTATGGAGTAATCACAATTAAGAACAGAAAGGTAACAGGTTATGCCTCCTAATCAGCTTGAACGTATTGACAAAAACGAGGCTAAGAACTAAGGCTAAATAAGGCAAACTGTTTCCTCATTTAAGGTAGCATCAGAGCACAATTTAATCAAGTTTATGGATATAATATCTCAGTAAGTATGAATTTGTATTGTGCAAGCTCTATAAATGAATCATTATTAGGACTGGATTTTTCTCACTGCAAGAAAAACAAAAATTACTGCAAGAACTAGAAATGATTTTGCAAACAAACCCAACATATTCTTGGAACAAGTAATGGGTTTATTCCATGCTGAAAAGAGAAGAAAGAAAATAATGTTTTGTTTATGGAGCCCTCTTTGGTTCCACAGCCAAAACGTGTTTTCTTTCTTCTCTTCAGCATGGAATAATCCTTTACTTGTTCCTTTACAGCCTACGCATGCTGACGCAGCTGTCCACCTGAACTACTCCAAAATATCCTACATATTATGGGAATGGCATCCTATAATATGGCATTATGCATGATGATTATATAATACATCATTTTAAAAAGGACTAGACAATGTCATCTTAAGTTATCTGCAATAATTTATATATTGTCTCAACAGCATCATTACTGGGAACAATGTCATATTTCTTCAATTAAATAATTGCACTAAAAAAAATGTATTATAAAAGCAATTTCTCTTTGTGGTGCTTTGGCACTATGCTTCTCTAAATCTGCCTGCTTCATGCTTAACAAACCATGCATACTGAAAGTGATTTCTATAATAACAACAAAAAAAACAATCCAAATCGAATAACTTTAATTATCTTTATTGCAGCAGCTTTGAAGAACATAAAGGAATACAGTTTTTATAGCTTTGAGGATTCTTATTTCATAAGATCAGGACATTTCTATTTGAACATGTTTTTAAATATCTGGAGCTCCTCTACTGAAAGCTTAAACACCGAAAATGATCTTGAGGTCCGACAGAGTGAGCTTGGTGAAGGAGTCTCCTGACCCCGACAGCACTTTCCTGGCCAGGTCCTTCTTCTTCTCCTGAAGACTGGAGATCTTGTCCTCTACAGTGCCGTCACATACAAACCTTGGGGAAACAAGGGCTCTTTCAGTTCAAGTCCGGGCTGGACGATACGTTTAACTTCAGCAAATAGTTACAGACCTCTGACAGCCTTTCCAGAATCCAAGCTCAATTTCTACCAGGTCCATGCACTTTGCCCAGTTCTGGGAGCCGGGCTGCACAACAACAACAATAATACTACTACAATTAGCCTCTCACCTGTGTATTGTGACGTTTCTCAGCTGGCCCACTCTGTAGATACGATCGCAGGCCTGGTCTTCCAGAGCGGGGTTCCTACCACAGCAAAGACGGAGAAAGTCATTCTCACTGTAAGGTCGCCCATCTCAGAACAGCTGGGCACAATCCTTCACGTGCGGTGAAGACATGACAGCCACTGTCCACAAAATACCAGGAGAGACTCGATTCCAGCCTCACACAGTCACCAGCAGTCTGCCTCCGACTTCGAAATGGGCACTTCGGCTCCGAGAATGAACTTAACTCAGGGGGCAGCTCTCTCCAACACAATCACTGTGCCAGTTATGACAGGTCACCACGGTTTAATCAGCTACGGATTGCCAGGGGGACTCCAGCTGTCAACATGGACGAAACCTCACCAATGCATGTCGATTAGGAAGAGATGGTTTCCTCCGGTAAGGTTTATTCCAACACCCCCCGCGCAGAGAGACACCAGCATCACCTGCAAGCAGGGAAGAACTCATCACTAGCTCGAAGCGCTTTAGTTGTCTCCTTTTTCCTCCTTATCCGTCTTTGGAATGTCACTGTATCTCTAGGTCTTGAAAATAAATTTCAGTGTCAGAGAGCACATTCATTCTATAATGGTTTATGTTGGGCAGGTGTTGGAGGAAATCTAAGGCGCTTCCTCAGTACCTGCGGCCCTTTGGGGTTCGTGTTGAATTCCTCCACCAGCTCCATGCGCTGCCTGGGGCTGACGGAGCCGTCGATGGTGGCATAGCGCAGGCCCAGCCGGTCCAGGTGAACGGCCACCACCCGCAGCATGGTGGTCCACTGCGAGACGATCACGCTGAGGGAAAGGCAAGAGCTCAGGGCTGGAACTGAGGGCAACCCAGCCTCCTTCCATGAAACAAATATCACTTAAAATCCTCAAATTAAGATCCCAAACTTATTTTTATAATAAGCTTTGCAACACAATGCTATATTGTTACAAATAATGCACTTGAAATCAACAGCAATGAATGAAATAGAGAAATCTCAGTTCTCTGTGTCATTTTGAATAACTTTTTTTTTTTTTTTTAAGAGTCCTGCATTTATCTTAAGATATGGATTCCAGCAAGGAGTTCAGATTGTTCCCATGATCTCCTGAACCACATGGTATCAGATGACTTACCTTTTCTGAGCCTCTGATTTTCGTCCGATTTCCTTCAGTTCAGCGAGAACTGCAGAAATCTAATAAACAGCAAATGGGTAGCATGTTCAATATTCCTACTAAAGGGGATGAGACACAGGACTTAAATCATACGGAGGAGAGTAAATTATTTCATAGTAAGATCATGCTCTTGAAATCACTTTACTACACTAAGTATTTTTTCACAACTAAAATCATTAGGAGCAGCATTTATCTTCCACTTGGCCAGAAAATGCGAAAATATAATATTGTATCAGGGCTCGGAGAGTAGCAGAAACAGTTGAAACAGGCCATGTCAGCAAACATTTGTTATGTTTTCAGCCCAATGCTGTCCCATTCTTGTAGTAAGATAACTTTTAACTGTGTTAAAGGAAAACTGCACTCCCAATTTCTCAGACCGGTTATTACATCTCGCTAAAAAAATAAATACACTGACGGTATAGAAAAATTTAACAAATTTCGAATGAAGCACAAAACCGCAAGCTTTGTGAAAGAACCAGAAGTTGCAGTGTTGTTTCACAAGCCGCTGGTCTCGCCACGGGTGAGAGTTTCCAAGAACTGTGACATGATGCAGCCCTTCCTGCTCACTAGTCACTGTAATGAGTAACTTAAGGTGATGTAGAGCGAATAAGCACAGGTTGTGCAAGCAGACATTTCACCGCAGAAATGTTCCAACACGATCTGCATGCCGATTTAAGAAGCAGTATTCTTCATCAAAACCCTTTCGAAATTTAGAGCCACATTTCTATTAGATTAAAGAGATGTATTCACAAGCCTGCTTGTTTACAATGTAACAGCGCCACTTCGTGTCACCGGATGTTTTGTTGCCCAGTTCTGAATCACAGACAATGATGGCAATATGGCGCTAGGCACACCTGGGAATTTTGTGATGTAAACTGGAAGTTTTACAAGTTATTTTACTTTTAGAATGGTTTGCAATGCACTCATGATTCTTTCGAACCCATAAATACAAAAATAGCATGGTAGCTCCGCTTCAAGGATAAGAGTGTGTGGGACTGAAAGTGCTCATTCCAGCAGTTTTCTACAGGAATGAGCTGGGAGCTTGTATTAGTCAGGGAAGGAGAGGGAACTATCCTGTGCCTCAGATCCCACACACATACGGTTTCTGAGGGAGGCTGCTCACTTGACTGGGATTCCTAATATTTTGGGAGAAGCTTGAGATCCACTACATGAAGGATCTGTTGTCGTTCTTTCCCCTGCTTTACCTTTGTGCTCTCCTTTGTCTCGTCGAAGAGGTCGGACCTGAAGTTTTTTCCATTCAGGGAGACTGTGGATTTGGGATCAGGACCAGACAGCTCCGACAAGGACAGGGCATTGAGCTGCTCCTCCAGGGAAAGCGCTATTCCTTCATCCTGCAGTTCTGCACGATCCAGTGTCTACACAATCCGGGCAGCAAAGAACGCACGATGCCATAAGTCATGCTCAAGCATTTACTTAACCAACAGTACCTCCCACTTCAGCCCAGCCCTTTACGACACTTTAAACAGTCATTCAGCAATTAATTCAGGAATTCCTTCTCAGTACTGTTGTCCTCACATGAGGCCAAATCGTGTAAAAATCCTTCTGCCTCTCCAAGCCACAGCATCGCCGCAGCAGAGCAAAGCCTGTCAATATTGGCCCCAAAAAATGACCCAACGTTCGCGGAGAAAGGAAATCCGAAAGCAGAAAGAAGCCCGTGGCGGCTCCTACCTTCCTCAGCAGCGAGAGGTGGCAGCAGCACTGGCGCAGCCTCAGGAGCAGGGACAGGATGTGCACCGTGCTGGTGGCGTGGGCCCGAGACTGCTGTGGGGCGCCAGCGAGCACGTCCCTCTGGCACACGACAAACTCCTGTGCAACTGCAGGCACAAAAACATGTTACGTAGTTTCTCGAGACTTCATTCCCCCCCCCAAAAACAGCTTATTCCAACTTCCAGAGCCTTACTGCAGGAAGTTATGTGCCTATAATCAAATCATCATTTAAGTCCGACAACACAAAGCTGAAGATGTCTATGGTGCACCTGATGACAGTTTAATCCTCCCACTTTGAGTCATTAAGGAAACAAATAACCTGAGCTTTGAGAATAATGTTATGTTAATGTTAATAATTAGGAGCCATGTGAAAATCATGAATCGTAATAAACGTAGAACAAAGATGACACAACTTTACTGTTTCACACAGCATTACCAAAAACTAAAGTATTCTCTCTACAGGACTTTCTACAGAAACGTCATCAGTAAATCTCAGTCTGCGGCTCCTGGAGACACACAAATAAATGAGAGGTCTTACAACAATGGTGCACGAAAATATTGATTATTATGACCTTTTAATGTGGTACACAGCATGCACTACAGTCGTATAGTAAAGGTGATGAACTGAGATGGACAAGGTGTTGACTAGACAGTATGTGATCGCAAGTGTGTGAATGGAGGAGGCCTCAGCGGTGAACAAGACAACAGCCCCTGACAGAGGAAAACAGTTTTAATATCCTGGATTAGTGACTTTCAGTTTGCACGGGCGGTTAATCTCAGACCTTTGTCAAAGGGATTATTTTTATTTTCCACCTCCTTGGTTTCCTGGCGTTCATATCTCTTTAGGTAAGACTGCAGGGTTGATCTGCAAGACACAGATAAAAATGTGTTATACCGTTGCTGTTTAATACATCTTTAAATATCAAATTATTCTAAAAAAAATCTTAAAACTCTGCAAAAAGCTTATGTGTTATTTACATTTTAGATTTTAGAATGCTTATGGTCAAATATAAAAAACAATTAGGAATCTTAAAACACCTACCAGTAACTATACTTACACAGACTTTGCAAAAAGTACATTATAAACAGACTGTTCATCTTCAGACAGCTTTAACCGGTGAGTATGACAGCAACGTTCAGGCAGAGAAACCTAAAAATGTAATTTATGGAAGAAAAGAAGATCAGGCTGCTGTTCACATACAGCACAGCTTATCGGTGCATCAAAGATTTCAGCTGCAATCATGGGAAAGATGAGCAAATACCTCGAGATAAAACGCCCAACTCCTGCAGTAATAAAACAGATGTTCCATTTAGAAGACATAAACCTGTTTGGAAACGATATGCATGGAGATCTACCTTCCAACCCGGAGCCCATGTCTTAATCACTTAACCCCAACCTCAAACTGCGAGTCCAACCCAGAGGCAATTATTATTATTATTATTATTATTATAGAATAGAGACCCATGGAGCCCTCTGGGCAGGTGAGAAATGAATGTTGCACTGTTCTTGCGGTAGTCTGAGGCCTGAAGGTGCATATGACCAACCTTTAACTTGAATTTTCTTACAATTCGAATTCTAAGATTTTGCTCCATGTCAAACGCGTCCTTTTCTCCTTGCTGAATCCAGAAACGTATGCTGCAGACTATCTTTACGGCCTGTTAGAAACGTTCAGCTGACAGCGCAATACATCTACCCAAGTGTCCAAGTCAATGCATATCCTTCACTGCTGGCTTGATGATAACCCTCACCCGTGCGTGTCATCCTGTACAACGCGGGAATATCAGTTATATGAATGTGAAGAAGGAGTTTCACTAATTAGAGCACTATACCAGGGGTTTTCCGGTGGAATCAAACTGGTCCTTGGTCCTGCGCAGCAGAAGGGCTTTGGTGAGGATGTTCAGTCTCTCTCCTCCCCTCTTAGAGCCATTGTCCACGTGTGCCTTCCACAGCTTGTAGTCATCAAAGGGGGAGCACCTGAGAAACCTACAGCAACACGACGGCAGCTCATGGCTCATGCACTGACAGAGCTGGTCAGTAATTCGGTATCTAGCAAACAACACTTTTTTTGAAGGTACTGGTGCCCCAAAAGCAAGTTCCACCTTTCACCACAAATTCCATGCTTTTAAATCTGTTTCGTCTTACAACGAAACACTGAACATTATTAGATCTAATGATATGCTTATTTACTGTTCATGGGGCTGAGCTGGCTTTTGAATTAAAGATTATAAAAAATTAGGACACATGGAAGTAAATAAAGCAAAAGAACTTAACTGGCCAGATATACATAACACAAATATATATAAATATATCCTGATACACAAAACCATCTTGTTAGATCTTAGACACATGTAACCAAGTAGCCAACTTGAAGGAGGTTGTTTCTGCTGGCAGCCAGAGGCCGGAGCCAGAGATGTGCTGTGTGGCGCCGAGCCGGACTCGTACTTCAGCAGCGAGTACAGGTCCAGCAGGTTGTTCTGAACGGGGGTGCCGGTCACAGCCCAGCGCGAGCCCGCGCGCAGCTGGCACACGGCCAGGGAGGTCTGCACCCGCGGGTTCTTGACGTTGTGCGCCTCGTCCAGAACGATGCGGGACCACGTCACGGTCAGCAGGGGCGGCCGAGGCCGAGTGGCAGGCTGAAAGCAGACCGGCGCCGTGATGAGCTCCATGCAAGATGACACAGGGAACGCCATTCAAAAGCCGTCGGCATCAGGGCTTAAAACAGCACTATCCAGGTCAATCTGGATATAGCATTCTTAGGGTCTGAGTGTTTGGACCAAAAAAACGACTTGCTTCTATAGCACATTGGCTATAGCCCAACAGGGCTGCACTGCATCTCAAGCTACGAGGACAAGGGGGAATGCTAACTCGTACGGCCCTCGGGGTTTCTGGGGGTGTAATAACGTTAGCTCCTGCTCATTTGCCATGTTGAGCTCTGCATTTTCCTAATCTTTTAGATCTTTGTTCCCACCCCAATGTTATACCGGCCCCTTATATCACTAGCCCTGTAACAGAATACGGTGGGGCGGAGCGGTGGCTCTGTGGTTCAGGATCTGCGCCTGTGGCTGGAAGGTTGCCAGTTCGTATCCCGCGGCCGGCAGAGGAATCCTACTCCGCTGGGCCCCTGAGCAAGGCCCTTCACCCCAGCTGCTCCAGGGGCGCTGTATAAATGGCTGACCCTGCGCTCTGACCCCAAGCTTCTCTCTCCCTGTCTGTGTGTCTCATGGAGAGCAAGCTGGGGTATGTGAAAAGACAAATTCCTAATACAAGAAATTGTATATGGCCAATAAAGTGATCGTATCTAATCTAATACACTTCAGCTATCCACATTGTTGCCATCTGTTCGCACGTACCCAACTCTCCCTTGCAGAGGGCCAACTGTGATTATTTCCCTGCTCTGGCCTCCACGACACTAGAAACTATCTGCACTTCTGACTTCCTGAGTGGAATCAAGCACCTTGACTCCCCTTTGTTCCCAGAATGAGGGGCGTCACGCAGCGCCTTCATTCCAAGTCAAGACACTGATCGTTTCTTGTACGTTTCGGAACAAAAACCCCCAAGTAAGAACGCCGATAAGCATAATATTATTGTAATATACAGCAGTTTAACATGGACATGGTGACTGACAGAAGCCAACAAACACTTCCTCACCTCCTCCCCTGCCCCGTCCTTCATTGACGGGATCTCCTTGGACACCAGGCTGTACGTTGTCACCACCACATCATGCTCCGCTAGTCTGAGGGATACAGCAGTAAATAATCAGACAAATGACATTTAGCATCAGAATTTGAACTCAGCAAAATAAAATAACCTTTCTCCGCCCCCACCCAATCACTGTGATTCGCCCATAAATTACAACATCTTTTACCTTTATGTTCTTTTCTTTGCCATGTCCTCTCACAAGAAGTTACATAATCTACAGGATGACATGCGACCTGCTAAATAAATGTAATACTGTGCAACCTTCTCCAGTGTGAGAGCAACCATTACATCACAAAAGACCAGCACTCAGCCTTGTGTTTTTCTACTGGCCAGAAGATGTGCTCAGACCTATCTGCATGTAATCTACTATAAATAAACAGTGGTCACCAGAAAAGGACACGATATTAAAGGTTACCCACTTGTGTGCTGGTCAACAATCTGGCAGCAATTTCCCTACAAAGGCTTCTTTAATCCATCCAAGACTTTCTCAAGTGCTTGAGAACACTAACTCAACTCAGAAATTCATGACCTCGGAAAATGCAGCAGGTTTTCCGCTTAAAAGCTTAAGGTGTGTTTCCTTTAGTGCTTTATGTCCTTCTTTTTATACAGCTTAGAGTAAATACAATTTACCCCACTTAAGCACGTATTGGTATACCTCACACCTGAAGAAGGCTCCACGGCCGAAACGTTGTGTTTTCTTTCTTCTCTTTTCAACATGGAACAAACCTATTACTGGTTCCTTTGCAGCCTACGCATGCTGACGCAGCTGCCCACCTGAACTACTACGTATTGGTATATCCTACTTAAGAGCATTACATTACCTATGTTTATTAAATGTACTTAGGTTCTCATTTTGTCAGGGCCGTTAGTGCATTTAAGACTTTCACTGCAGTAAAGTCAGTGACAGCAGCAGTAGCGACCTACTGAAATGACTAAAGGCACCCAAGGGCACTCAGAATCAGGCAGAAAACAAACGGAAACGAAGAAATGGAGGGCGCGATGTGCGATCGAAGAGCAGTCCGACGCCTACCGGCCCCTGGCTTGGAGCGCACTGCTACTCAACCGCGTTTCTCAAGGAGACGCCCAGCAGGAGCACCGCCTGCAGGGAGGTCTTACATGCGTGCGCTCCTCTGCCTGTTGGGCCCGTGGTACAGATAGACGCTCAGCGCCGAGCCCCTCACGTGCTTCTCAACCTCCATCTTCCAGTGGTGAATGAGAGAAGCAGGACAGATGATCAGAGTTCCCTGGGACACCACAGGGGAAGGATCTGTCAAACGATTAACAATTAAATCACATTTATTAATGCGGCGTGGCGGAACCAACCATTCAATTTAACATCAGTGAAAAATCGGTGTCTTTCCTTTATTATAGCTTAATAAAACACACAGAATTAAACCATTCTTGTAAATAAACTACCGTTTTTGGAAATCCAGCCTTCCGGTTTTTTGTCCTTCTTCTCCTTCTTCCTCTGTGCCAGGATGAGCGCTATCATCGTCAGAGTCTTCCCTAAGCCCATATCATCCGCTGTGGGAAGGAAGAGACGGGATTTTCGAACTGTGGCTGAACTGGCAGGCAGCTTCACCGATCTGTTCAATGAGGGAGAGCCTCCGAAAGCACTGTCTCCTCTCGCATTCAAAACAAAAAAGACAAAACGTTTCCATGACATTTTAAACTTTACTGCTGTTTGTTGCAGAATATTGCTCCAAAAATATTCCTACAGAAACCCCAAACACTCAAGTCAGTGAATACGTTTTGACCAAGCTAAGAAAGAAGGAAGTGTCTGAAATGTCTTTAAGAACTCTGCACCTGTCTGAGCTGCCAAAGCCACTGGGCTGAAGACAGAACAGGTAGAATACAATACTGATGTCACGTCAACCAGAGAGGCAGTTAAACAGAAGCAATAACTGTGCTTGGAACTACAGTATTATGTAGGAAAACATCTGAGGGTTGCTGCAAAACAGCTTTTATAAGTGGATTATTTGTTACAATTAACCTAATTATTCCCTTGATCCTATACAGGATTTTGAAGAGGATCTTTTCATTCCGTTGATTATTCAAAACCTTCAATTCATTAAAATTACAGCTAACTATCAGGCACCATGAAGCTTGATTAGGAGTCCTGCAATTATGTAATTGATTAAATAACGAGACCGATTCAGGTGGCACAAAAAACAGAGGACAGTAAGTCTTCTAGGAAGAGGGTTTGCAACCCCCGCTTCAAAAAAGATGAAAGGTGACAGGCTGAGGAGACAGGCTAGAGAGCATCAGATGTTTGAAAACCATTTCTTTACCAAGAATTCCTCCACTAGGTTTCTGAGTCTCGCGCCACAGAAGCCAAGCCAGGGCCTGTTTCTGATGAGGCAGCAGGTGGACCTGATCAGGGAAAAACAAGTCCATTCAGAAGAACACAGTTCTCAGTAGATACAAAACAAGCACTTCACTTCTCAATCAATACGTTTAGACATTATTTCTTAAACTACATATACAAACATCATAACATATGGATGCTCACACTTGAAGAAGGCTCCACGGCCGAAACGTTGTGTTTTCTTTCTTCTTTTTTTCAGCATGGAATAAACCTATTACTTGTGTCCTCTGCATCATAACATACGCCTACCAATATTTAACATGGGGCTTGGGAGTGTTTTGTGTTCCGACAGGCCCGACAGGTCACCGTGAATAAGCAGCGTAGACTTCAACTACCTTGAGCTCCTTCGGATCCTCGGCTTCTGCTTCTGCAGCAGGACAGGACTCAAGAGACTTGTACAGATGGTCTATAGCGTCTGATATCGTGCTACCATACAGGCGATTGTACTGGGGGTTCACTGGAGATGAAAAAACACAAAAATGGTTACGTCGCACAACTGCAATAAACATAAAAACACACTGCCTTCAGAACATGAATTTTAGCTTAGGTAAAACACATTTCACAGCCCTAAGGTGTAATATACACTTTTCAGTAATAACCTTGTATATTGAAGATGAGATCACAATTTTTACAACACATTGTGTGAGGCGAGAATTAAGAAATCCTCTGCTTACGCCAGTAATGGCACCTTCTGAGCTTGCTGTGCCTTACACTGAAAAATAACTCGCTTTAAAGCTGGTGCCAAAAGTGATCTGCTCCTCCGAAAACAAACACTAATAAGTGGAATTCTAAATTCTATTTTTTTACTCTGGCACATGTGTCCTTTTTAAGTCTCTCGACTTCATAAGACTGCCAGATGAACAGAGATAAAAATCTAGGCTATGGGATCTTCCAAACTCTTTTCCCCAGAGCTTGGCCTAAATGCCCCAGTCCAGCTCTGGGGCGCCTGCAGGAGCCCGCCTCCTCCTCAGCCAGGAGGGGGAGCAGCGTGTTGCTGGCACACGTACCCCCAGACCTGTGGCAGTCCGCTCCCAGGGCGCTGGGCGCAGGGGCAGGCAGCAGAACGGTGCCCCTGGGCCTGCCGACTGGGTCCTGCTGGCTGGGCGCCGGCACACAGCGCTCTTCTCCTCCTCCCCGGGCGTCTGAACACAACACAACGAGATGCTGCAGTGAACTACTGACACAGCTCACGGGAATAAGCACCGAGACCAAGTGAACAGGAATATTTTCCCTGCAAAAGGGGAACTACATTAACCACTCACTTTATGTACTTGCGATTAAGGAATTATCGTATACATTTTCTGAATGCGTTAATACCTGTTCCTTCTGTATGTGCCCTGACTTTCGCTTACAGTACAAGCACATCTAACAGTGCACATACTGTCTGTCCTGCCCGCCACCCCTTAAGCCATTTTTGTGAGTTTGAACTCAATACATCCTGCCCAATATGGATGTTCATCTGCCAAAGAACCACAGCCATCAGTTTCTGCCAGTCAGTGAATCACTGCACATCAATGGCAAATAACGCCTCTTTATTTCTTTTTAATTTGGGTTCTTTTCTACTTTAGACTGTATGCTTTTTTAAACCAGTAATGTTTATAGAAAGACATACGGTACAAATACTATATAATTACCTTCCATGACTGTTATTAATATATGTATTATCTCATGTCACTTACTTCTAATTATTGCCTTGAAATTTATTTGCATTGACCGAATATAACCCTAACGAACAACCTAACTGAGAAGCGCATAATTTTCAGATAATGAGGAGCTGATGTATTGCAGAACAAGAACAAGGACCAATTATGACAAAACCAGCAACACTTTGAGTAATTCAAGCATTGCAACTGTGAAACTACAGATGAAGATACTGAACTTTATCTTTTATTTAAATAAATACTTTTTTCTGGCACCGGCTCATGGTTCTCACCTCGTTTGTTACTGTCCTCATCCGAAGCAACAGACAGGCTCAACGATTCCAGAGCATCTTCTAACTCCTTAACCTGGCTTATTAGCCTCTGACCTTTATCAGGGAGTGTAGAAATATTCACAGAGGACAAAGTAACCTAAAAAACAACAGTACGTCATTGAATATGCGTTTTACAGCCCCACCGTCCATGACAATGGCCGAGGCAAGACAAGCTCACAGAGGTCCACCAACCTCTCTAATCAACACTCTTTCTCAATATCAAAAACACAACTTCTAGTTAAATAAAAAACTCATCAGTTATTCAGGAGGAAGCCATGTTTTGTTTGTTTATACTGTAGGTCATGGTTTTACAAATTAATTTAAGTTTCCCCACACTCAACAACACAGTAGGATGGTCTGATTTTTCCACAAAGTGGCCAAGCGCAGGCACGGCGCGGGCACGTCACGGGCACGCCTACCTTCTTCTGTCTGAGCTGGGCAGAGAGCGTGCTGTGGAGCGCCTGCGGGTCCGGGGGCCGCGACTGAGACAAGGGCAGGAAACCGTGGAAGCTCGTTAGAGTCTTCTGCACAAGGGCCGCGGGACAGGTCTTCTTGTTTCCAGGCTGCACAGACACTATCAAGACATCTTCGTCCACCGTCCTCTCAGCCTGCTCCCCCGTCCGCTCCATGGAGGGATGACGTTTCTCGATCGGCCCGGGTGTGGGGTGTGGGTCACTCGGAGGACGTGCTTGCGCCTTCCGAGACTCAGCTCGCGAGGGCTTTGGAGACCCCCTGCAAGTCGCGACCTTTGCCCCCGAAGCACAGCCTTCGTCTTCCCTTTCGCCGTCCCCGATGCTCTCCTGCTTCAGAGCTTTGTCCTTCCTGACGGGCCCTCGGGCGTTCTCTGGGATCGGCTCCGATTCGCGCTCCTTGCTCGCGGAGCCCGGAGGCTGGCTGTGGTCCCTGCCTGCCGCCGAGCTCTCGGGCTGCTCCGGGCGCCCGCTCCAGATGCCCGATCCCTCCCGGCTGCCCTCCGGCTGCAGGCGCTCTTCTCTGGGGACACGGCGAGACCCATCCTGCTTCGACAGGCCCTCCTGCGCTGCCTGCCCGTCTGCAGGCCATCTCTGCTTCAGCTTCACGCCTGCGGGAAACCGCTTCTCCCTCCAGGACTCGGGGGCAGGGGGGGCTGCCCCGGCCTGGTTCCCCTCCCCCTCCGCTCCTCCCAGCCCCGCTCGCTCATCCCCGCCTTCGTGGAGCGCCTTCCAGTCGGAAGACCTCGCAGGCTCGCTCGTCACCCTGAACGGGTTTCTCTCCGCAGGGTCCTTGCTCCGCTGGCATTCTCCATTTAACGGGGGGCTCTTCCCTTCCCGCTTCGCCTGCTGCGGATAAAAGACATGCCTTCATACGCAAGCCACTGCTTTCTCACACCACTCCGATCCGGACTGATGTGGAAGTTCAAGGACTGTCCCTGCCTGCCGTGATAAATATTTCAGTTGCACAATATTAATACGCCCAACCAAGTATGCTGGAAGATCTTTGTTTTTTTTAAAGTCAATGACCTTTTCTCTACTAAGGTTCAACAAATTCCTCGTGTTTGAACAGATAGCATTATGCTGGCCAAGTGTAGCTTGGGAAATAAGATAATCCCAAACTGAACAGAAACCTAACATTTCTTGAAAACGTAATGCTGTGCAGTGCAATAAGATTCAAGCACAGTAAAGCCTGTTAATATTTCATAGATGACATTCAATAAACCAAGAAATTGCATGCATTCGAGAAGTTTTAAAACAAACGCGCTCCTTCAAGGAAACATAGTGTAAGGAGCTGCATCAGCGTGCACAGGCTGTTCCTTTACATACAAGTGATGCCATTACAAATTGTATAATTTATTAAAAATAAATGCATTCCATTTGTAGAAGAACATTTTTGCACACCTGCCATGGAATATTCCCACACCATTTCTTCCCTTCAGCCTTCCCTGTAACGCAACGAAATAACAATCTGAAAATCAAGTCAGAGAGAGAGAGAGGTCAAATCATTTTCATCCACACCTGCGAATCCCTGGTGACAAGCTACTCTGCTGGAATTTGATGTCGAACGATCTTTCTCAACACGTTCCACAAAGTCCATTCCACATCCCATCTGAACTACAGCTCGCATCCGCTAGCAGTACCGGCTCTCGAAACAACGTGACCAGACACACCTGTAGCCCGGCCTTCCTTCATGCTTCACGAGAGCCTGCAGCTCGACCCAGGAGTCTTCATGATGCAGGCAGTGAGACGGAGGGATACTTAAATAAAACACAAAACACAACACTGGAGCAAAAACAGACGCACCAGCAACACCTGCCCCTAGATGTCAGAGAAAATGCAATCAATGGCTTCTCTAATAATGCTCCATTGGAACATTCACATCTATTCATTACATTCGTGTCCCTGTTTGGGGCAGACTCCTCCCTACCCATGCACATGACAAAAATAACAAGGGACAAACTTTAAATAGGCACATTTCCGTCCTGTTATTTATACTGTGATTCCTAAAGCTGTAGCTGATTCGAGTACTCAGCAGAAGGCGGCCAGGTTACAGCCCTCCACACTCCCATCAATGGGCACCATTCTAGTCTTGGTGCAGAGATACGGTTTTAACGACTTTAGGATGTCAAACGCCCTCGAATTACGCTTATTAAAATATCCGACACATCGATACTACCCCGCTGGATCGCAGTGTAAAGTGGAGACACACATACTGGGCGGGTTTAGTGAAGTCGCAGGCGGCCCCTCCTTGTGAACTGCAGAGGTAGAAGCTCTTGCCTTTGTTCGGCCCGTCTCTCACACCGGTCTTCAGCAAGCACGGCCTTCCTGGAGCGCCAACAAGCAGACAGAACAGAGAGAACAGCCCATTTCTCCTCTGTCCAGCTCACAGCATGCCACACAGACGCACATCGCTGCCACCGAGAAGAAACACATCTCCACGTTTATCAGGCGATAATGACCTCGCAATCGCAGCAGAGTCTTGGTGAGGGATCTGAGTGTCCTTTATGCTTATAGTGACTCTTCTCACACGAGCTGTTTCATTAGCATGTCATCCCGGCTCAACCCGGTCGAAAGTTAACTTTGTAGAAAGTCTGGGGGCGCTGGACACCCTCACGACCACCACAGTGAAAGGTTATACGATGAGCTTTTATGTGCAACAACAGCACCATGTGACGTATCTTGTTCGTATAAATGACTGAAAATTATTTATCACGTAATTTTTTTTTTTGCTTTTTGATGGCAGCAATGCGTTTCCGTAATGGTACGCGATTTCACAAAAAGTAACGTAGTGTTTTCCCCTACTCTCCACAGCTACTGCTCGTAAAAAAAAAAGGCTGTGTACGCAGAGCCTGGAAAACAAGACCGGCTCAGTAAAGGCTATGGCTTTATCAGCGAGGCAGATAAAGACGAGAGCATACTCCCCCTTCTTTTCGAAACGCCGGGTTTCACGGAGTCCGTCCCCCCCCCCAACATGTGTCTTAATTAGGTTCAAGCTCAAACTCGTTTCCTTGTCTAAAACCCAGAGTCGCCATGCGAGTTCCGCACACTTGCGTCTTGGGCCGCAGCCGCGACAGAGACTCACCGTGCCTGTCACAGATGACTTCTTCCATGGCAGGATGTGTTACTGTATCTTCCACCGGTCTCCTCCGACTTGCCAGCCATTTCCCGGGAACTAACGCGCAGCCGCAACTCAACTCAAAGCCCGGGCCGCGGAGTTTTTTTTTATCCAATGAGACGTGAACCCGCAACAGTTTTGAAGGCGGGCACAGGGGAAAGCCTTTCATGTTTGGCTCACTCTCGTTTCGATTTATCCAATAATTTTGATTTCGCTAGCATTGGTGTCATCACGCCTCAAAAAGACGTTCAGAAGAATGAGTGGGAAAAGTCAGTGGAAGGTTGCATTGCTTATGTGTAACATTTTCCTTTTCTCTTTAATATAGATATTAAAATACAAATATACTGTAAACAGTGCCAATACTACAGGATGAAATGTTATATACTTAAAAAACAACATACAGCATTTGCTAAGTGTCCTAACTATGAAACAACAAGCATACACTCAAACAGTATGTATTTGTGACTGCTTGATTATGCACACATCATCACATTTAGATGTTCAAAATTGTCAATGAACCAATTATTCACCCATTCATTAACAGTAACGTTATTCTGGAGATGGACGCAGGAAGCGGGTCTCCACACAGCTGTCCAGAAATCTGGTGCTTTTTGCTCCTGAGTTGGCCGCCTCTTCGTCTCAGAGCCTTGTTGAACGGGAATGTTTACAATTAAAAATCAATTTTAACCATCGTGTCTTTTACAAACCCACACACACACCAGAAGAGCATTCAAACTACCAGGAGCTGTGAGGGTGCAGAGCTAAAAACTAAGTAACCATAACCCACAGTGGCTCTGTGGCTCAGGATCTGCCCCTGGGGCTGGAAGATTGCTGGTTCAAATCCTGCAGCTGGCAGAGAAATCCTACTCCGTCGGGCCCCTGAGCAAGGCCCTTCACCCAACTGCTCCAGGGGCGCTGTACAATGGCTGACCCTGCGCTCTGACCCCAAGCATCTCTCTCCCTGTCTGTGTGTCTCATGGAGAGCAAGGTGGGGTATGAGAAAAGACAAATTCCTAGTGCAAGAAATTGTATATGGCTAATAAAGTGATCTTACCCACTAACTCTATGGTTTAAGAAATCCATTTTCAGTATAAATCATGAAATGAATATTCAGTGACTGACATTTCAGTTGACATTTTGACTGGACGATTTAAATAGCGTTCAGAAGCAGCCAGGTAAATGGCACAATACATTCCATGTTAGTCAATATTAAATTTTGCATTTATGTAAGATAAATATAGGATTATTACACTGTGGGAGATGCAGAATTAGAAAGCACACAGTGGGGAAAAAGGATTTAGGGGGTGAGGGAGACTCGTCACTCACAGCACGTAATAAGCAGGCAGAACGAACAGTCCGGTTTTGGCTGTGGCAGCATTGGGAACAACAGGCTTGAGATGGCTCACGGGCTCCCTGACAGTTTAACTGCCCTTTTCATTCCAGCAGGGGGTGCTGTCACAGAGCAGGGAAAGCTAGGGAGGCAGAGAGAGAGAGCAGACATCCTCTGGACTCGGAGGAGAGGAAAGAGAGTGAGGATCCTATTACAGAGGGAAACAGCGGGAAAGGGAGAGGTTGTGGGTACAGTCGAACGTTTATTACACAGACCCCCCACCTCAGGTCCGTCGTCTCGAGTGAAATCCCAGAGTTGGACTGAAGGTTTCCTGAGTACACAGGAGCAGCGGCGATCTGTTCTGGGGAGGACCAGAGGGGCGCCTTCCCTACATCTGCTGGCATTGAGAGCGTCAAGCCTCGGGAGAGGGGTCTTCTTTTTAAGTTTTAACTCACATAATTGACGTAATTTTTTCCTGCTACTAAGGTGGTCTGTAAAAGGGGAATCCACCGTGCCGGTTCTTGACAGGAGCAGAGGTCTTGCAGGAGTGACCTTCAGAACTACACACCTCTGCCCAAGTGCTGTTTGTGCCATTCAGCTTCTTTCTTCTCATCCCAGTGCACATAGCCCAGGAAGCATGGTTAGCTTTTTATTGAATAAGACATCCTCAAAACCCAACAAAAGCTATTTGCTTATTCACAGTCTCTCACTATGTGGTGTTCTATAATAATAATACTAACAAGCAAACAAGGTAGCCAGCTATATTCACAGGACACTGTGCAAGCATCTGGGAGTACCTGTGCCTCACAGTGTTCTACGAGCACGTACCCGAAAAGGTTGTCAACACCACCGATATCACCATCACGTGGGACGTGCCTATAGTCACAGACCGAAAAATACCAGTGAACCGCCCTGCATGACAAGAAAGCGAAAACAGGCCTGCTGATCGATATCGCCATTCCAGACGACTCGAACATCAAGATGAAAGAGATTGAGAAGCTGAGTAAATACAAGGACTTGGAAATTGAGATCAGCAGGATGTGGAATGTGAAGCCGAGAGCTGTGCCACTCATAGTTGGAGCACTAGGCACACTCGAAAAGGGATTTGATCATAACCTTTTGTTGCTCCCAGGCCCTCCATCAGCAGGCTAAGTGCAGAAGATCGCACTAATGGGCACTGCACACATGCTTCGTGGGGTGCTGGAGTGAATCACTTTGATCTCTTGTTGAAATCTGGATTTACAAGATACTGCCAAAAAATATCCGGTGATAGGAAGAAGACATTATAATAATAACAACAACAATAATAATACAAAATAATAATAATAATAAAGGAAGTTACTCCTTGATTATATTACATCATGCTACATATACAGTACATGTGTTATTTTACATGTACATGCATGTAATACATCAAACATGATATACTGTACATGTAAGATACAGAAATGCATTACTGCATACAGTACGTACAGCCTTACCATTTAACAGTAGGAGGGACTTTCTAGATGAATATTTTGGTGCAAATATAAAGAATTAACATAAAGTGTTTCCTGAATCTCTCTTTACTGTGCTCACTTCACTTACATTACTCAACTTTCTCCAGATCTCTGAAAGGCTATGTTAATATGTTAACTAAAGTGGATGTTATCCAGATAGAAATTGCCTTTACTTGAAAGGCTTGAAATTTAACTAAAGTGAAGGAAAAATGTTTCAAGCATTATTGAGAATGAGATAAACCAAATGAATGAATTTACCTGTTGCATTTCTGTTTAATAACGTATCACTGCATCTGTAAAGAAATTATATTATTTTAAAAACATCGGGAGCACTAAAATTAACAATTATGTAATGTATCTTTAAAAGACTGGATTATGTCAGTTGTTTAAAGCTAGAAGTTAAACATACATATAATAAGATATGCATATACTGTATATTAAATTCCTTTTCCAATATATGCCCCTGTTATACAAGCACTGCAGATATAGGTTTTTAATTTTTACATAAAACTAAGAATTAAGCTTAGAAGTCATTGTGCTGATGGTGCAGATAATTCTGTAGACTGTAAACCAATTATGTGATAATTGACCTGAGCATTACCAACTAGTCTTCACACATAGCTATTGGCATAATGAGCTTGTATTCTTAATGAGGATAAAAGAAGATACAGTATTTTAATTTACAGAAGATCAGTGTTCTTTTCTAAATTAACAGCTCTAGGTGGTCTTTTTCTAAATTAACAGCTGTACGATATTATACCATAACTTTACCTTTACATTTTTATCTTAATAATAATGGTTTGAACTCATAATATTGCTTAATGCTTTGAACATTGAGAAATACAAAAATGACTGCAAATGCAATGTTTTCTGTAGTATCTTATCTAAACGTTTTCTACCTGATGAGTACGATTGTGATCTAATTTATAATGCACATCCAGTGAGTGAAGCTGATACATGTGAATCTGTCCATGACTGTAAACATTATGTGATTAATTTCTTTTTATCCGTAATTTAAAATCAAGTGGTAATAAATCCAAAATTAAATTGTAAGCTATACCGAGCATCAAAATAACCTTATCACTGTTGATACACGCGTAAAAAAATAAAATAAAGTGTATAATTCCAGACTGACCTTAATGTGCATAATCAAGTGACTTTTCCTGTTGCAAGAATACTAAATCACCTCATTAGTGAGAAAGGTGTTTGGGAAAGCTAATGAAGCAGTTGCCACGATACTAGGCGGAGGTCAAGGAAGAAGAGCACAGAAATGAGATGAGATGTCTGGTGTATTGGGAGAACAACAGCTCAGTACACTGGGGACTGAACAGTGGCCGATTGCCAAACAGTAGTTCATGGATCTGAAACTACTAAAAGCCTTTTTATTTATTTATTCTTCAATAAATCATTATATGAATATGAAAGGCTGAAACCTACTCAGTAGCTGTGACAGCCTACAAACTGCATGGATATAGTATGTATCAAATATTGTATATCCCATTTTGCTTCAGTACGTGCTATTTGTTCCACATTCTGTAAGACCTTGTAACACAAGCATAGCTTCAGCAAGAATGCAAAAGTGAATGGATTACAGAATTTCACAATGTAAAATCGGTGACGCAGTGGTGCCACCGCCCTCCTGCTCCCTGGTCCCGGATTGAAATCCAGACTGGGGTGTGCTCTGTGTGGACATTGCATGCTCTCCCCGTGTCGGCGTCAGCCTTCTCCCAAGGTCAAAAGTCACGCTGTCCAGGTTAGCGCCTCTAAACGGCCGTTCCTGTGAGTTCATGTGCACCCCGAGATGAACCGGT